GTTGTGGAATTTCATACAGCTCAGGTCAAAGTCAGCAATGGTCAATTTTCTTTTATCTGAATTGCTTTACCTTCAGAGCTTTCTCAGTAGGAAAGCCGGCGAGCATCACTCAATATTTACTTCTGTAGTCTTAAACAATCACACAGGAAAAGAATGCATGAACATCTGCAAGGTTTACTTGAAAAAAATGTCTTCAAACATGTTCGGCATAGTTTATATTTAGAGTCATACTGCCACAAACAATGCATGTACTTGTGAAGAGGATGTCACCGTGCATTACACTGAGGTGTTTTTTTGTTTACAGTTTATGCCAATGATGGACGACATACAAAGCACATGTCTATAGTTACATGGTGTGACATGTGTATCAATATGTGGAATGATAACAATGTGTATGCGAAGCACAAAGCCCTTAACAGTCGTCTGTGGTGAAATCTGAGGCAGTTTCTGACAGCTTTACCCAAACTTGTTTTTACCATTTTTCAGACGTCATTCTGAAGTTTAAAGGAAATGAATTAGCTTTACCAAGCTGTACAATCAAATGTCGGTCCACAGTTTCACTCTGCCGCAACAAGAAGTGGGAGGGAGAGGGGACGGACTAGCTATAATTTCTCCCACTTCAAAGACCAGAAGGGTGACATGTTCCCCATTCCCCACTGATGGATTCCCATAGAGTTAGAACTTCCAACTTTAGACTCATTTTGTCACTTTCTACTCTATGGGATGACAGAGCGATCCCCCAAAAACATGTCGTCAAATATGGTTGGGTTGGAATTACTCAGCCGGTGCACGAGCGTATGGATATGGCTTCGTATCTTTGAATCCCTGCTTGGAACTAACTTGCTTATGAACAAACCAATCAACCCCCTGTATGTTCAGTTCTGTTGTCTAATAATTATGGAGTCTTTGAACAGTGGCAATACCAATCAATGTTGGAAATTTAAAAGAAAAATGATGGCCACGTACCCTGAAATTAAAAGCCCCTCCTCATTTTCCCCCCAAAAGCTGGACACTTAACATGTTCAAATTTTTACATGGCCCAACATATCTTGAGGTATAAGGCCTGTATAAAATTCCTCATTAGAGGTGCACATTTCACAAGATACACTGTGCGTATACCAAAAAGCTAGTTACATCATGGTTACATTAACAAGTATTGGCCAAATGTACATGTACTTACCATTCAGTATTCCACAACTTGTGCCAAAGTTACTTGACACAATGTAAAATTTTAGACAGGTTTCCGTACACTCAAATGGCTGGAATTCTGCAAACTTGTGAGAGTGACTTGAGCCAAGACAACTTCACGCAGTGAGCCAACACCCAACATCGTAATGAAAAAGTGCAGAAGTATTTCTGTGCTTGTTTACCGCAGCATACTGTGAGGGGTTAATGGACGTGCAAAAAGAGAGCCCTCTACGTCGTCGGCAGCAAACTGTATAAATTAACACATTTAATGTACAAATAGAGGGCTCTTCACATGGCACTACTGCTACAATCCCACACAGCGACACAGTCAAAGCAAACTCCTCACAAATTGTAATTTAATTTCACCCTGTTGACATCAGGGAAGGGGACTTCACCTCAATTTCCTTGCAAACGGTGCAGATGTTCTGATTTGCTTAGCACAGCTACCGTAGATTCTGGCTAACCAGCATTTGTCCAGCATAGTAATGTGGTCCAAATTAAATACTGATCTACTGTCTAGCTGCTGTTTCTGGGGTGGGTTTCACACCTCTGCCAACAGGTGGATTGTTGGAGCCTGGGTGTGATCCTATATGCCATGGTGTATATGGACCATGGATGCCAATGCAAGGAGAGACTTTAAAGGACCGCCCTCAAGAGCCAGGATGGGGAGGAGGGCAGTTTTTAGACATCCTCATAATGCATTTTTTCTGTGCCCAGCATTCACTGTTCTGGGTTCTTGACCGTTCGACAACTTTTCAAGAAAATGTTAACATTATAACTTAGACCTATAAAACACAGTGATTAACCATACACATACACCACTGTGTCTGAGACAATATTGCCTAGACCAATACATCCATCATGTATGTTCAGTTTCCTCAATGGGAGTTTTCTTTCTTGTATCAAGTAAATAACAGTGGAAGCAACAGTCTCCAGTGCCAGATTTGTTGCACTGTGAATGGGCCACCCCTAAAACAATAACATGTACACGTCCATGTATATGACACAAAAAAAAAAAGGGGCCGGACATGTTAGCAGCGCTTCCCAAGCGGTTACACTATTCAACACCCGCACTACAAATATTTACAATGAGCCAATTAGCATTTCAAAAAAGCAACGTCTTTTGGGAACAAAGCATGTGCACACTATGTGTGCCCACGGAGCTATGCCCTTACAAATCTGTTACTCCCTTTTGCAGTCAAAAATGGACGGAACAAAATTAACCTGTCAGTTGAGACATTAAAATGGACAGCAAGAAGTCCAATGCACCGACAACAACCTTTGAGGAGAACGGAACGGTACATTAAAGATGAATTTTTACTTCAATTTGGACTGTCAAATTTGTGCTGATGTTCTGAGGTTGACTATGAAGTTCTCCCTTGACAATTCTTTTGATGATCTAACTACTTATTTATGAAAATGGTCAAAATTATAAATCACAATTTCCCATTTCAAAATTGTTTCTGAATCTCTACTTTTAAACTATGCCATCCGTACATGCAGGGGAATGGAAAACTAAGTGTATTCATTTTAGAGTAATTTCAAATGCCATAGCATCCCAGTTGATGAACATACTTCACTTTACTTCATTTCATCTCTTCTCCTTTTGTACCCAATAAAATACAATACATAGAATACTTAGAAGAAAACAAAATTAAGAAAAGAATATTCATAGAAAATAACACAGTTACTACGGAGACAGAGATGCAAGAGACCCTCAGAGGATATTTCAGCAGAATTCCAAGCTGAACTTCACAGATTTAAAAAAAAATCATGAACTTGAAGAGTCCAGTTGAAATTGTACACCAATGTTGACTTTTTAAGAAAGGCCTACATGTAGTTTCCGCTTTTGAGAAATTTTCCCATTCCTAATAAACGATAGTTGTGGACTGATATATACATGTACCTTGTAAAAAGCTGACCAACAAAATGTCGAGTTATGCTCAAAGTGAGAACTACCGCGAACCATGGTAAAAAGAAGAGTGTACGAACCCCCGTGCACAACCTGACACCATGTGACCCTTGTCTGGAAAAACTAAGTGTTTTCTGAGTAACGCTTCAGAATTTCCTCAGCTAAATTTCACTTTTAAGGACATGTATATGAAACTCTTTCCTCGAAGTTTCATTAACTTTGTGAAAGTTAATGGTTAAGGAATGTCCTCAGAATAGCCGTCAAATGGCCTCGCACTCTCCTTGACCTTGGGCCTTACCTTTGGGGTTTTGACTGAAGGCGAAAACTTTTCCAACCCTCCGCGCGCCCCGCATACGTGCTAGTGCGCCAACAGCATGCACGCGAGCGCGCGAATGACGTGACTTTAACGTTACTTGTATGTACCGTCGCGTCGGTACCGGTAGCCGCCGCAGAAGGAGTATACCGCCCTCTCTTGGAAAAGCGCTCGTGAAATGAAAGAGATATTTAGTTGCATAATAATAACTCGATTAAAAGGTGCGACGCGACGCGAAAGGGTATTTTCCACATCACATTCTGGGCGATGAGGGATGAAAAAATTGAACCTTTTCGTTTCTCGAAAAATCCCAATCTTCCTTCAACCCCAAAACCGAATATAGTCACTGCCCTGTCAATCTGCTTGCCCTGAAGAAGGCACTAAATTACCGAAAGCTCGGCAATCACATATTTCAGAGAACTGATTTGATATTATATTCCTGTAGAAAATATTTAGTTTGCTTTGACATTTTACTGTTCATTCCCCCCAAAAATGTTTTGTGTAAGGTATGATGATTTGCATTAGAATAAGTACGTCAAATTGAGTCTGAGCATGGAGGAAAGAACACAGTGCGTGTACTGATGAGGTGGACAAACAACTTGTTTCTAATTCTACACCCAACGATAGTTTGTTCACCTTTAAAAAGAGAGTGGGTACGGTGTCTCGAAGTACTCGTTGTAAAACATATAAGATCTGCGCAAGCTCAACAAGCAAACCGTCGATGGTTCCCGTTCACTAAAC